CCGCCGGCCCGCCCGCGGGGCGCCCCTGCCATTGGCTGGTGGGGGGCTCGAGGAGGCCGCGCGTTGCGGCCGTAACCCGCGGCTGGGCCGGCGCTCGGTCGCCCGCAGCGTGTAAAACCAAGCAATAGCGCAGCCATGAGGTCAGCAGGCATGGTGTATTGGCACCGCAAAAGGGAGAGCTGCAGGAACTGGAAAAGAAAACTCAGGTCCCATGGGTGCATACTTGCAGCCTTAACTGCAAACTTAACAAGCCAGACAGACGGGATATATCACACATCATGAGCATTTGCAACTCCAATGCACATGGGGTGGGGGCAGAAGCTCTTTTGGTGCCACATTCTACCATCAATTGTCTGTGAAATAAACAAACAAACAAAAAAACCTAGTGAAGAAAACAATCATCAATTGATCTTCAAAAACGAAGAAAGGCCCCCAAATCGTTCTTTACAAATCATTGTTAGGAGATACCAAGTTAAAGGTAATGTTATCTCCTTGGCCACGGTTCTCCCTTCTCTGCTTGGGTACCTACCTTCATAAAACTTCTGTCTTTGGATGCTGCTCCTTACCTGCAGTTTTAGTTAAAATCTGCCAATCAAGTCAAAAGTTATTGGGAAAATGAGACAGAATGTGACAGCATGTACCTTACTTTCTCAGGAAACTCGTTTAAAAGAGAACCGTATAGACCCAGTGTTTGAGAACTGGTTTTGGGGTGAAGAGAGAAATCAGACCTCAAACTGCTGTCAAGGCTGACACTGCTATGTCAGGACCTGAACTCTTGCCAAGAATTTGGGATTTTGTGAGGCAGCAATGAAACAAACAGAATTAGCTTCCCATCTTAGATCCTTGCACATGTTTATAAATTGCCTCTTGATTTCCTCCGTATTCACTTTAATTCTATTGTTGACTTTGCACATCTTTTCTGAGAACAGGAACTGAGCGATGATATATTGCAAACTGAAATAACTGAGGAAAACAAAAGGAAACAGCAGCACAGTGGCTGGCTCAAAATGCTTTTCTGCCATCTTCTGGACTTTCTTGGTAATGACAGGGAAGAAAGGTCTCAATTCACAAGTCAAATTCTGGATTTCAGCAGCTGTATACCGTAACGAGGAAACAACCTGCACATTTGCCACAATATATGCATACTGTGGCTCTTAAAAGCAAGACTGTCACATTCGTGGTTCAGCTCAGCAAGGAAGACTAAGCAACAAGAGAAAAGTTAGTAAGGGAAATAGTGTCTCGGGAGGTGGGCAGCATCACATCAGAACAGCCACGCACACAAGTTGCCCACTCAGGTGATGAAGAGGAAATATACGATCCTCATGACACGCCAACGTATTCTGGAAGCAATCATTACCTTTCCATGCAAACTTGCAAAGACGAAACACTGCCAGACTTCAACGTATGACCATCACGTAGAACACTGAATGTAACTTTGTTCCCATCAGAGAAATCAAACATGGGCATAGCTTACTCTTTGCCTGCAGAAGAGCTGAACGTGCACTTTGCAAATGAAGCCATTTGATTCTATAAGTAGGTGTCTTTGATATTTACTGCCAGCTGCTGGGGACAGGTGATCTCCACCATCCTCTGTTCCTAAAAAGGAGACTGCAACACTATAATCACCACACAGTACTCTAAGATTCAGAAGTTCTATGCTAAATCAATTTATCTTTGATTTAATCCTTGTCATATATTTTCCTTCTTGACATTTCAGTTAGTACATTTTCCTGATTTTAAAAATCAGATATTAGAATTTATCCAAAGATTTCTGCTGCCAATTTTTGCTGGTGAATTGATAAGTTCATCTCTATTTGCAGAAAGTCACAGAAGTAATGGAGACTATAAAGAGAATGATCCTTCAAAATATAGAATTTAGTAGTCACAAAAAAGGCTACAGAACACATGAACCTTATTTTCAACTATCAAAAGATTAATTTTAAAATCAAAATCAGGAGAAAGACAAGCAACTGAAACAAGCCCTAGCTTTGCAATACATATTCAGATTGCCTGAATAAGGAAAGGCTTATGTTTGCTACTTAAATCACAAGCAACAGAATCATTTCACTGAAAACATGAAATATAGCAGATTAACTTCCAAGATACACCTCAACAACTCCAGAATTAATCTAACCAAATCAGCTCACCTGACTTGGTATTTAATAGTTCTATTTGCAGTAATGCAAAATTTAGACATTTAATGTTTGATCTAAGGGCATAAGCAAGTGAGGGTCATAGATACAGTGGTGTTGTAAGAGAAGTTTCTACCTTTATTATCAATTAAAAAAAAGTGTGTTTGTTGCTGCCTTTTATCTAAGCATTCTTTATTGATACACCTAAGATTATGTATATCAGCTACTACTCATTCATGTGTCATTTAATATTGGAAACTAAGTCTTGATATATGAAGTGTTGCATATGAAATTGTATATAAACAGTGAAGTGTACCAGAAATATTTTATTCACATCAGTAAACTGAACATATTTACATACAATAGGCAAAGGACAAAATTTGTTCAAAAACTTTTATTTACTATAAAGACAAAAACCACCAAAATAGGTACAAATTATACTATATAAAATTGGTTCAAAGGGGTAAAAACTTTTAATTAAAATATCTTGATATATTTAAAATAACAAAGGATACAATGAAGCCAAATTTCTTAACCCAGAGATTTCTGTAAAATTTGCTTGCACAGTAAGGTGCTAATAGAAGTTAGCCCTTAAGCCCTGGAAGCCTTAGGAATCTATCACATAGCAAATATAATTTCATTGTGAAAGCGAACTTTGGTAGAAGAAACTCTATAGGACACCTGAGGTAGTAGAAACTGGAATAAACAGCAGTAGACGTTATTTACAACTTAAGTACCAAATAACATTAAGAACACAAAAAAATAATTACACAATACAATTTTCAGTCCAGCTTTGATCCAAAGAAAATAAGAATATTACATCACATCTGCATTTTAAAAACACCACAATTACCAGCAAGCTGAGGGAAACGCAAACAAACTCAAACAAATGCATTTGGACACCTAGAGGCAGTTTGAGTTTGAAATGTGGTAGGCATGGTGATCTACAAAGTAATACTGATTAGCTGAGGTTCATCAGTTTATACAGTTTACATTTCTGCCAGAAACAGTATTAATCTGACAACTGATCTTCCAGTACATGAATTGGCAAGAGTGCATCCTTTAAAGCTTGCACATAAGAAAGACTTGGAAACAATCTTATTAGAATGAGAAATTCTAAAGTGGTCAAAAAAAGTCAAGTACAAAACAGTTAGAGCTACCAAACTTCACATTTCGGTATTATCTTTTTAACTCTTCAAAGTCTGCCAATCTTCCAAAACAAAGGAATGTAAAATTTCCAAAAGAAATACATTCACAACTAATGACACTGCTTTTTTTATTAGTATGAGCACTATCATTCCTGTAAACTTATCTTTAAGATGTTTTACTTCCAATTTGTACTGTACATTTTTAATGTACTATAGCTTATTTAGTTTGTCCTGAGTCTTTGAAAATAACCAATTCTGTTTCAGTCCAACAATCCAGCTGGCTTCTGAAGAGTTAAAACACAAACAGTATTTTTTTTCCAAATGGATTAAACACAATCAGTATTTTATTTAAAAAAGATCCCCATCTTAAAAAAGCAAAAGAAAAGCTGCCATTTTCCTTCAGAATTACATGCATCAGAACCTAAAAACCTGCCTTTAAAATGATTTTAAAAACCTGTTTTAAAAAAAACACACCTGCTAAAAACCACAAGTTTTGCACTACAGGTGAAGCTTCACTTCACATTTTACTTTACCTTGCTTTTCAAGTCCAAGCTTGTTTCTTGTTAAAATAAATACCTTTCTTATGGTAATATTTTTAACATTTTCAAATTAAATTATCACTAATGGCTACAGTAAATAGATGATGTACGGCAGAAGGAAAACAGCAGGTAAAACTTGTTATCAGTAGAGAATGTGACCTTAGTTTTGTTACACAAAGAATAAGGTTTGCTTGCAGTTGGCACCTGCTCCCACTGAAGCACAAGACAAAAGTCTCCCATAAGCTTCAATGGTTTGGGGCCTTTGACATGAAACTTCTCTACATGATTTGCCAGAAGAAACTGCTAAATGAAAAGAAGGCTCAACAACTTTTAGCATGATTGTTTTATGCAGAACAACCTTGTTTCTTCTGTTTCATTTTTTAAATGACCTATACTATGAGAGCCTTCAACACTGCCTTGTTGAAGGTGGCATTTTATCTTATTCCAGATTTCCAGCAAATCTGCTTTTAAAACTGACGTCAGCAAGATGTTCTATGACACAGCTTGCATCTTTTTCTAAAGACTATTTTAGAAGATCCCCTTTCCCTCAAAGTTAAAAATACAATGAAAACAAACTTTAATTTCAAAATAAATTACATGGCCAGTAAATGCACAGTGAACCACAACTGCCTGCTCTTACTTTAAGGAAGGCAAAACGTTTCTTTAAAGTATCCATCAATGTTGAGATTTGTTACTCAGAGAACTTTGTGTAATTAAAAGGGACAGATACAGAACTTCCTTTTAACCAGTGCTGAAAACTGGCTAATTGCAGAACCCTCTGCTTACATCTACATGATGCAAAATGGAACAGTGATTGCTATATTAAAATAGATCCTGAGCCCCTCAGCTGCTAATATTGCTGAAAAAGTGCTCCAAATAAAATAAAAATCGCTTATCTGCTAAATAATCGTGCAGATTTAAGGAAAAAATTTGTATTCACATAGAGCCAGATGTTTGAAAAGGCACAGCTTACAAATCTCTGCACAAGTTGTGAAATGTTGCATACTGAGCTTAGGTAAAGATCTCGATTTGTCAATCACATACTTAGGTAGGGTCCTCCACTGGCCTTAAGTCCTTGATCTATCTATTTTAAGGCCAGCAGAATAATACAATTTGCTGTGCTTAACTGCACTGCAGGACAGTTATTGTATATTCAGTAGCATCTTCTTCAGTATATCAGCCTTATACATAAGTAGCTACCATGTAGTACGGAAGACTGGGTGTTTCAGCAGCTCCCTTGATGGGGGTCTGTCCTGAGGTTGAAGTTCTAAACACCGAAGAGTCACATCTTTCAAGCCAGGAGACAGATGTGTAGGGATTGATGGAGCTGTAGTTGCACTAGCAATCTGAACAAAGGGAAAATACCTTTTTAGAAGTCAGTGATTCTTAAGCCCCCTCTCCTACCCCAAAAACCTTCCACAAGCTGATCATTTTCAGCTGGCGAGTTGTATTTACGAGCTTTTCTCCACCTAGCACATTTCCTACTGCAGTTTGAAGATTACATGACTGCTACCATTTCATAAAATGGCTCTTAAGTCGCCCTTATGCCTATTGCCTTTCACAGCCTGACTCTCTCCTTCCACTTTTCTCTAAATTTTCTTCCTACAGCAAGATTCTGCAGTGACCATCTGCTGAGGAGGCCATAAGAAAAGCTCTTATGCCATACATACGGGTATTCCTTAGTCTACTAGCTGCCATCACTGTTAACTGGCATAAACCAACATGGAGATACATTAAGCTAAGCGATGTTACATTATGATATGTTAAGCTGGGTATGCTCTCTTGCATTGTCTTTGCTGTATTTCTGCTACGACCCCAAAAGGCAATCTTTCTCAGATAGATGCAGACCACTCCCAACCAAATTAATTTTGGTCTTCTCTAGATCAAATTAATCAAGATGACTGAGAACACTAGAGTTGCAGCACCAGATTCACACAGACACAGAACCAAAGACAACTACATCTCTTATCACAAGTGATTTGTACATAATTAGAACCAGCACAGCAGTATTCAGACACGTTCTGTTTTGTGGAAACACTTTCCTCACTCATGCTAGTGAAAATGCTAATAATCACTTTCTTCACTTGCAGCAGTATTTTCTTCATTCATGCCCTCAGTTCAACCAGACTTTTACAATTAAATATACCCAATTGATTTTAGTAAGAAATATGAATGCCAAAATGGATGATCTAGAAAAGGGAGGGGCAATATTCATATATAGCATGGCATGATGGTAAATATCTTTCAGCAAAATCTGAATGTGGAACATCAGGTTTTTACCAAAGGACATTGCCCACTATGAAATATAAATACACACACAGATGTTTCATGGTAGAAAAAACTTATTTTGCTCCGATATTTTACAGAGTTGTAAGAAAGAGTTCAAATCCCAATCTTCTGTCTAGAGTCAAGATCAACTCTATTCCCAAATTTTTTTAGCCTGTTACACTATGTATTTATATATTAGAACAGAGCCTTTTCTGCATATTGTTGTGTTGGTAGCCTTTTTTTTTTTTGAACAAGTATGATTATGTTGGTATCGGTATTGATTTTGTACTAGCAGCTCCAATATAAAGAAGAGCTATTGCAACACCCCCTAGTACTGGTATATTTTTCTAAAATTCACATTGCTGTATATGAAACTAGGCAGCATCTTTTGTAGCATATTGGTAGCAACACAATACCTCACCTTAAATATCAGAGCAAGATGATTGGAGTGTTTCTCTGCATTCCAGGGAGGTTTAGCACAAGCCATTTCTATAACAACACAGCCAACGCTCCACACATCACAGCTCCTACCATATTGCTGACCTCTCAGAACCTGAACAGACAGACAGACCAAAGCTCAGATCATCTGCTTCAAAGTCGCTTAACTCTAAGTAATCTAGATGCAAAAAAATCATTTACGAACTGCATTCTGATTAACATTTCAGGTTGAGAGAGTGATCAGTGATGTAAATGTCGTAAGATTTATACAGCTGTAGAGAGCTAGTAAATAAAATGCCTGATCCAGGGGCAAAGCAAAGTACTTTGCAGTAGTTAGCTTTTGACCAAATGGTCATTTGGGCTTTAGTAACAATACTTATGATAGATATACCTTGTAACAAACCACTTAAAACAACTTTGACAGCAAGAAAGAAATGTCATTATTGCCATGTTGGAATCATTCCTGTTCTTTAGAACAAGTACATTTAAAACATATTTGAAGCATTTACAGCAATTTTCTGTTATTTGGCTGTATGAATTAGCTTAAAGGGTACAAACAAACTTTTTGAAGTAACTTCCAAAACTGGTTTCTTACCTCTGGTGCCATAAATGCAATAGTTCCCAACAACTGTCCCTGAAACTCCCCAGCACCAGTTCCTTTTGATGCCAACCTGGCTGCAGCTCCAAAATCAGCAATTCTTAATCTATGACCTGTGCTGTCAATTAGCAAATTGGCACCTGTCAACAGCATAATAAAAATACTGCTAGTTGGCTTTCTATTGAAGGCAAAAGGATGACAGACACTTCCTTCCTCCATTTCAAAACTATAAACAGGTTAACATTCCCCACCCCCAACATCAAGGAAATCTAAAAATCAAGGACAAAGTCTAATAATGTCACTTTTCTGTTATGCCTGAATGATACTGCACACAGCTTGAGGCTGTCCAAGAGATTTAGAGAAGCAACCAAACTTTCAAAGTAGGGCAAACACAGATGCTGGAACAATGCCTGGAGATGGAGTAATGAAAAAGAGAATGGTGACCTAAAACCCTGGAGGTTTTTATTGCCTGCAGCTCCCTGTGAAATTTAAACTTATTTCATCCTTAAGCAACTTTGAGTTGTCTTGAGAAGAATCACGGAGGACAGTTTTTCCATTTTAAGAAGAACTATTAAAGGCAAATATTTGCCATCACTATGTCACTACTTATCTGGATATCTCTCCAGTTCATGGACAGCTATAGTGACATGAAACGGAAAAGTTTAGTAAGACTGGTATTTCCCAATGAAGTCCACATTGTGCTCAAACACAATTCAACTGTATTTATGTTCAGTTAGGATGAAGGAAGAAAACTCATCACAATATTCCTATACATTAGCAACCCGACCTTTTCATCTTGGCTTGTTCACAGATTTTATTCTCATTTCAGTGTAAACATGTACATTAATTTAACTACCAATCTTTAAAGCTATATAGCAACTTGATATTTTATTTGAACAAACTGAGAAAACCAATTTTTCTAAACTATTGGCATAGGTAGCAGATATCCCCAAGCATGCTATGAACGTTCAGATTAATTTCAGTAATTAAAGGTTCTTAAGAATAATCAGACAAACCCAACAGAAATACCACTCTTGAGATGATATCTGAGAGAAGCAACAGGTCTCAAGGCAAGATAGATGCTGCTTTCTGATTATTCCTTTTAAAAAGAAATTCTACGTAATTCTCACCTTTAACATCTCTATGGATTATCTGATTCTCATGGAGGTAAGAAAGGCCACGTAACAGTTGTTCTGTGTAATTAATAATAACCGATTCTTTGAAGGCTCCGTATTTACTTAACAAGTGAGCAACTGAACCCCCTAGAAGATAAAAAATACATTTTATCAACATTTATATTTTGTGTTAGTAGAACGCAGCACTGCCTCCTAAAATTGGAACTTGGTATTGGTATTCCTAACTAGATTTCACCACCCCCACTCCCCCCATATTAAAAATTTCATACACAAGTAGTAATATACTTGGTTACTTAATTACTTTCTGCCTGGAACTGTACACATTAAAGACATAAGTCTTCATCCTTCCTAATAATTTTATACTTCCTTAAGAGAATGTACAAATCCCGTAGTGTACAAAGCACTGTTGCTGATAAAGAACTACACATCTATCCACATTTTGCATTAACATTCAATCAGCAGAACACTAGCTTCTTTGGGGCAATAGAGATGTGAAGCCTCCAGTAAGCATTCCCTCTGAGGATCTTAATTTACTTTTGTTACCATACAAGTACCAAAACATAGAAGCAAGCAGACAAGCAAGGAAAAGCAGTATCTTCCTCTGGTTTCCAAAATTGATATATAGACCCTCAAAAGATTTTGGAGGAAATGGAAAATGTGCCTCTCAAAGCATTCTAATGTAACTTGGGCTTGAACAAGGTAAAGACAACTCCTGACATTTCATTATCTAAATAATATTATTTCAGAAAAATTATACTTTAAAAAAAGTGCAACACCCTTAGTTTTGAGAAAATATTTTCTGCACTACTGTGTGTAGTAACACATACTTATGCTTTGCTTGTTTGCGCTCTGGTATTGCTAAGTGGTTTCTGCCAAAGAACGTAAGTCAAGGTGCAATGCGTTCTTTTACAAGAAATAAGGATGTATAGAACACCAAATCTAGTCTTGTTAACTAGATGGCAACAACATATAATCCCGTTCATAAAATCAGTAAAGCTCTTTCTTAAAAAAAAAAAAAAAAAGGATATAGACTTTCTTGTACTTGTTCTTGTCCCACTTAAGATTTGAACACGTTTTCCCACAAAACATACTGATTACTACCTATTTACTAAATTTGAAATTTACTTCAAGTTCTAAAATGCCTTTGCATATCACCTCACACAATTTTTATGAAAGTGCTTGGGACAAAAACAAGGGACAGGTATTCCAAACTTTTTATAGCAAAGTTACTTTTAATAATAACTTCAAAGTTACACAGGTACACTGAAAAATGCAAGTTTGATGTATTTCCAACTGAAATGCCTGCCTCTCAAAGTTTCGAACTCATTTAGATTCGGAAATTGAGGAAAAAGTAGTAGAATTTTTGTTTGGGGCTTCCAACTGCTTTAACTGTACGACAGGTTAGGTATGGAAAATTCCAAATCTAGAAAAGGATCCCCCAGTAAGAATATTGCTACAACAACTTAAAGTGTTGTGTAAGTAGACCTTTATACTGGTTACCAACAGCAATGAAAATACAAATTTGCAAACTGAAGTGATGCAAAATGCAGTATGAAACTACATAGTTCAAGACTCATCTGATATTTTAATTTTCTTCATTACTTAGTTTACCTGCCATCCATTCAATAAAGAGGTTATAGTTGCTCTTCTCACATGTAGCACCCAACATTCGAATAATGTTAGGATGGTTCAGATGACTCATCATCCTTATTTCTTCTCTCAGTGCTTCAACTACCTCTTCTTGCTCAGATGATGTGTTCCTGACATATGTCACCTGTTTTGAAACACAGTATTCAGACTTACCTTACATAATTACCCGTCCTGTAACTGCTCCCCCCCCCCCCCCCCCACTACCCAATAAAAAGACAGAGAATTGTTTCCACCCT